TCTTGAGGTTCATTTAATTGTAAATTTTGTATAATGACTTTGAATTGTTATAAACGTCTTAAAATAAATCAAAAATAAAAAAAAATTATTTTAATAAGTTGTAATTTAGTAAAAACTTAGTAAATTTCCTTAAGTGGATTGTTACATGTTGAAATAATTGCTTCGTTCGGTTTGCCAATTAAAATGAAGAAGTTCGAAAATAATTTCTGGATTTTATTTTATAAAATTTTAATGAATTATTTAATTTTATTAAGAATTTAATATATATAAAAAGTTCCTATCAAAACTTCAATAAAAAAATTTTTGATAAAAAAAATTAATAATAAAAAAATAAAGAAGAAGAGGAGGAGGAAGAAAAAGGCAATACGATTGAAAGAATACGAAATACGAGATTGAAGAAGATATTTTAAACAAACACCCTTTTCTCATTTCGTTTTGATAATATTGAGATTCTAGTGAAGTGTGAATCACTCCCATGTCTATCTTCCCTTCCAAAATTCTTTATTGGCTTGGTATGGTTAAAATAAAATCATTCTAGACGCATGCATAATTTTCTTAGATTTAAAAAAAAAACTTTTTATTTCTTCTTTATCCTTAAAAGAATCTCCAATTTTTGAAAAGTTTCCATCCTTTATCCTAAAAGGATTTTTGTTTTTCTATATTAAGAGTGTAAATTTTTCTTAATTTGTGTTTACTCTACGATACAAATATAATGATTTTTCTTGATTTGGATGCAAATTTATTGAAAGAATCTTATTATATAAAGATTTTTCTCTCATTTTCTTAAGATAAATTAATATTCTTTTAATGAATTGTTAAGTATTGAATGTGAATCTTCAAGATTGAAATTCCCTGCTGTCTGTTCGTCCATTGAGCTTTGCATTGAATCTAATAGACGTAACTAAGTAATATTCTTTAGGGAGGAATTAAATTGCATAACTAGAAATTACTGCTATATGTATCGAGAGAATTTCACTATAATTACATTGAGTAAAATGTATTTTATTGTAGATAAAGATATATTTTATCTCCAGCAATTTATAATGGATACTGATTGGTTAACTACTTAATAATTTAACTTACTTAATGATGTATGAATAAATATTTAAAGAAATATTACAGCTCAATTTTGTTGTAGTGATCGTTCTATTGTTTAAACAGTCTAAAATATAACAATTTTAAGTTTTCTTTATGGAGTAAGGTGTAGAAAAGTATGTTACAGCTTATAAAAAAATTTAAGATGATAAATAATAATTTAAGAAAATCATCAGTTCGACTTATGGTTCGTATAATTGTCCAATTGGTAGCTGTGAGACATGTAAAAACAACAGAAAACTCTTATCGTTGCTCCTTGCAAAAGCTTATTCATTATTCATGCGAACTAAGGAATATATAACTACTCCCATCGTTTTTGAATTTGTTCTATAACCACGCATACATCTTCCATCAGCAGAATAGTTTCACAGGAATTGACCAAGTCAGCACTTTCAGCCATTTCCACTTTCATTTTGATATTTTTTGATAAATTTTGATAGATTTTCACAAGCAAACATTAAAGAAAAGATTAAAATAAATATATAAAAAAATTTTTTTATTAAATTAGAATTTTTATTTGAATAAATTTTAAATTTTTTACACATAAATAAATTAATATATATANTCTCCAACTTTTTATCTCCAAATCGCTTTTCGTAAGATAAACACAACGCGAAGAGCTTTCCTTTCCCAAGTGGAAAACTTTTAAACAAAGTTTTAATTCGGACCTCGGACCTTATCCGGAATCTCATAATAATAAAAATGAAAAATGTAAGTTTACGTTTATACGTCATCTTTCATTTTTTAAACTAAAAAATTCCTTAAACGTTGTATAATGTTGTTTAAATATAAAATATTGTAAATACAAAACATTTTCAACGTTTCAAATTGAATTTATAAAAGTCAGTCTTTCGCAATAATAGCAATTAAGTCTAAATAGGGTATAGAAAAACAACAGTTATTACGAGTAATGAAATAAGAACACTTATTCTAAAATATGCATACGGAAGTAAACCATTAAAAATTTTACATAACTCTATCGTGTACTTTGGGAGACCGAGTCGTGGACGAGCGATATCAGCAGGAGAATTGGCAAATGATAAGTTGGAAAGTTTAACAGATGATTTGTTTTAGAAATTTTTTAATGACTTTGATTATAAGAGTATTAGAAGTAGTAGCCCATAAACATAGACGAAAATCAATGGTCCTTTGAAAATTGGTAAAATATAAGTCGGAAGCGCGAATCATTTATTTCATAGAAAGAATTCTTAGACTCCTCCGTATGATCGTCCGAGATACAAGATCCGGACTTCCAGGATTTAAATCCTTGACAGACGAATAATATCGCTGTTGTAAAACAACGACGGTGCTAGGGAGAAGCTATATATATCGTTGAGCAGGTTGAGTGAGTTTCCTCTGTTCGCCAGATTTCTGGAAAGACAAGTCGAATAATCTTACATTGCGCTTCGATCCTAAGGCAGATTTAGCAGTACTGAGAGTTCGAAGTATCAGGGAGAGAGATCTGTAAGATACGAACTGTGCGAAGTAACAATCACGAAACGGGCTTCGTGGAAAGAAATGGTGAGAGATAAACTGCGAAATAAAAGGAACCTTTGCGAAAAGGCACAGGGAACTCTGTGACCTCAGAGTACGGGTTTTTAGAGTTCGCCGAATTCAGAACATATTTATTTATTTATTATTTAATAACTTATGAGTAATTTTTTTAGACCTATGTGTATAAATACACTTTTATAGAGTAGATCAATGTGGTTTTTTTTTGTTGTTATTCTCCTGTATAAAGTGAAGGAATAGTTTAAATATAGTTATTGTAAATTCTGAGAATATAGAAAAGGGTTGAAATAAAATATATATCACTTCTTTGACGAATTTCATGCAAAAAAGCTAAGAGAAAAATATATAAAATTTTGAATAATGCAATATGTAAAACTGTAAAATGCAGATTAGAAAAGTAAGGAGAGGGGGAGAGAAAAAAAATGAAAATAAGTTATTCATTTATTGATTTTTCTTGAGTATAAAGTGACTAAAGGATTTTTATAAAATTAAAAGTATGAATAATTGTTTATTTAAATTACTTTTTATATCTAGTAAATTCCAATAAAGATCTGATTTTTGTAAATCTTGTCTTATGAAAAGAATTTAAATGAATAATATATTAAAATGCGTATATTTAACTCTACATTACTATTCGCTTATATATATAAGCTGATATATAAATATTTTATAATATATATAAAATTTTGTATGTATGACTCATACATGTAACATGGCATTATACTGTTTATTATATTTTTTTTATAAAAATTCTTTATAAATATATAAAAATAATTTTGTATGATTATAATTTTTTGAACTTTTAAAGCTGTTAAAATAATTATATCAACCAAATTTAAGTAATTTTCTACATTGTTTTTTTGTCTTAAGTGTGATCTTGAGGTTCATTTAATTGTAAATTTTGTATAATGACTTTGAATTGTTATAAACGTCTTAAAATAAATCAAAAATAAAAAAAAATTATTTTAATAAGTTGTAATTTAGTAAAAACTTAGTAAATTTCCTTAAGTGGATTGTTACATGTTGAAATAATTGCTTCGTTCGGTTTGCCAATTAAAATGAAGAAGTTCGAAAATAATTTCTGGATTTTATTTTATAAAATTTTAATGAATTATTTAATTTTATTAAGAATTTAATATATATAAAAAGTTCCTATCAAAACTTCAATAAAAAAATTTTTGATAAAAAAAATTAATAATAAAAAAATAAAGAAGAAGAGGAGGAGGAAGAAAAAGGCAATACGATTGAAAGAATACGAAATACGAGATTGAAGAAGATATTTTAAACAAACACCCTTTTCTCATTTCGTTTTGATAATATTGAGATTCTAGTGAAGTGTGAATCACTCCCATGTCTATCTTCCCTTCCAAAATTCTTTATTGGCTTGGTATGGTTAAAATAAAATCATTCTAGACGCATGCATAATTTTCTTAGATTTAAAAAAAAAACTTTTTATTTCTTCTTTATCCTTAAAAGAATCTCCAATTTTTGAAAAGTTTCCATCCTTTATCCTAAAAGGATTTTTGTTTTTCTATATTAAGAGTGTAAATTTTTCTTAATTTGTGTTTACTCTACGATACAAATATAATGATTTTTCTTGATTTGGATGCAAATTTATTGAAAGAATCTTATTATATAAAGATTTTTCTCTCATTTTCTTAAGATAAATTAATATTCTTTTAATGAATTGTTAAGTATTGAATGTGAATCTTCAAGATTGAAATTCCCTGCTGTCTGTTCGTCCATTGAGCTTTGCATTGAATCTAATAGACGTAACTAAGTAATATTCTTTAGGGAGGAATTAAATTGCATAACTAGAAATTACTGCTATATGTATCGAGAGAATTTCACTATAATTACATTGAGTAAAATGTATTTTATTGTAGATAAAGATATATTTTATCTCCAGCAATTTATAATGGATACTGATTGGTTAACTACTTAATAATTTAACTTACTTAATGATGTATGAATAAATATTTAAAGAAATATTACAGCTCAATTTTGTTGTAGTGATCGTTCTATTGTTTAAACAGTCTAAATTTAAAGCTTTTATTAATAAAAATAAATAAATAAAACTAATTTTCTATGTTTATATATTAAAGTTCAATAATTTAAAGATTTTTATCTTTAAATTTAATTAAAAATTAAACTACAGAAAAAAATTTATTTGAAAAAGTTTAAAGCAATACACTTTCGTAATTAAAAATCAATTCTTTTTTAAAAATTTAAGAGATTTTTTTTAAAATATATGAGTTTTTAGGATTTTAATTTAATTTTTTAAAACAAATTATGTTTTTATAAATGAGGGATAGACAGATAGCAAAGAATTTCTGTTTTGACGATGCAATAAAAATAGTAATATTCGTTTTTAACCTAAATTCTCACGCTAGAAGATGATCAAGGAATGAAACATAATGTCTTGAGGGGTTCTGCAGAAAGAAGAGAAGGTAAGATTTTTTTTTTATTATATCCTAATAATTTTAGAAGAAAAAAAAATGTAGAAAAAAAAGAACTGAGTGTAGTACAGAAGAAAGACATAAGGTATGTCTATTAAGACATACAATCGAGATTATTTTTCCTATAGAAGGACGTTATGGAATGTCTGATGATTCCTTAACAAAAGAAACTGAAAGGTCATATAATCCTTCCATACGAAAACCTAACAGAAAACAAGGTAAGGATTAATAATAGAAAATATGTCTTTATTAAATTATATACAGCAAATTTTAAGAATATTTATGGCTAAAATTTTATAGAATAGTCCTATCTCAATGTTTCTATCATAAGTCCTAATCTCTCGACTATAATTTTACAGCTTATTATTTACTTGTTGATTTATGAGTAAATAATTATATTTTGAATCAGATAAGACTTAATTTAATTAGATAATATTTTTAAGCAAATTAATTTTATAATTTATTAATTTTATCATTGGAGTTTTATTTAATCAAGAAACTTTTGATTCATTGCTCCAATTTATCCATGCTTAATTTATTCGAATATCATAAGCTTAAACGCTATAAATTAATATATATATTATATTAAATAATAAATAAATAAATTATTTATTATATTTATAAGCTGTTTTCATCTAAAAAATAAATAAATTCTTTAAATTTATACGCTTTTCAGGTGCTTAATGCTCTTTACTAAGGAGTTATAATCTAATGTTTTACTCCTCCTTCCACACATAATCTAATTTATATTATTTATTAGACCTTCAGTTGTTATATTTATTTAAGTTATAAAGAAATTTTTATTTATATATTTAAAAAGTAAATTCTTGCTGATTTAACAATAAATTTCAAAGTTATATTTATATTTTTAAAATCATTTTATTATTTAATTTCGAACTTCTTCTCAATAAATAAATAAATAAAGTTTTAAGTTAAAATAAATTCATAAATATTGATAATTTAATATTTAATAAACATATATTAATAATTATTTAATTATTAAATTGCTTTAAAATTTATATTTTTTTAATATATATTTTATAAATTAAATAATATGAAGATAAATTTGATAATTTATTTAATTATTTTTTTATGTAAATTTATAATAACTGTATTTATAGATACTAACAAAGGATGCACCTGTAGGAGTCTTTGGAGATGGATACCATTATTAACATTAGTCAACGCAATCGTGTTTATGATACCAGCAACGTAATAATGCTTAATTTTTGTGTTCAAGAGTGAATGAATACAAGTTCTGAAATTTTGTCTGGAAGTACTGCAGATGTATAGTACTTAGGACAAGTCCAATATGTGCAGACAGCTATAGATAACATACGTTGGTTATGTTCCTCAGCGCTAGGCATTTTAGATTGCCATCATCTTCCCTCATTTATAAATGAAGCAAAAAACAAAAAAAAGAAAAAAAAAAGAAAAAGTTTTAAATGGTGGTCAGTTGTGACTTTTCAGACCAATCGAATGTGTTCTTTCAAACCATTTCTTCCAAAAAATCAAATTGTCGACAGACTTAGATTATACTCAGGACTAAAAAAAAATTATAAGTTGTGTGGATGTTAAAAAATCGAAGAAAAAAAAAACACGTGTCCAATATATAGCTATCTTCTAATTTATGTCAGAAAAATAGTTTTTTAAATCATTGTAACATAGTAAATCATGCATCAACCAAAAACTTATGGTAGTTGTTATATGAAGATGGAGGCAAAATATGTTGTCAATCAATGTAATAGTGTATCTTTGTAAATATTACAGCTGTTAGTTGAAGCATATTAATGATGATGGTGATGATGATGATGACGATGACAATGATGACATATTTTGTGAAGATATTGTGAAATTATGATGTTTACAATAACAAAAACAAAAAAAAAATGATTGGAATAATTCGTTGTGTATATTGTGAGTGACTTAAATTACCATCCAAAAGCCATCTTTATTTGCGAAGAGACATGTTTTTCTTTATTATATATAAATATATATACATATAAAGTGTTTTATAATTTTTCATTATTTGTATAAAATAAAATTTTTTCCCGTATTTTTCAATTTATATTAAAATTATTCAGTTTTATATAATAAAAAAATGAGAAATTATCTAATCGTTATAAGAAATTTTATACGGAATTCACGTTAAATAAATTGCAAAATTAATATTAATTTTTTAAAAATTAAACAAATATACATTATTTTAAACTAACTTAAAAAAAATAAATTTCTAAAATATTACTTTTAAAGATAACCGATCGATTATTCTGATAAAATTATCTTAAGAGAATGTAATTCACGATTTCATTACGAATTACTCTTAATTAACAAGATACACAAAAGGACAAATTTTAAAGAAGTTTTGTACATAAAATTTCATTGTTCGAAAGAACAATTAGATATGTTTATTGTGGAAAATTTCTTTCATCTCTAGGATAGTTACAAACGGAATATCTTTATATTCGTCCCCTTCAATACACCAACTTCGAGTACTTTTGCATGCTAAATGTAATGACAGTCGTTCAATAACGAGTAGCTGTGGGATTGTTCCTATTAGGAGCCACGATTTGAATATATATTAGCTAATTATCAAATGGATACACGTTGTCCAGGCGAACGTAAAACTTCCACTTCTGTACTCTTTCCTGTCTATTCGTACTCCAGGTTTGCGATATTAACCTTAATTTTCTTTCTATAATTAATGTAAAACCAATAGAGAGAGAGAGAGAGAGAGAGAGGAGAAGAAGACGACGACGAAGATAAGAATTTTAGTTTAAAATCTTATTTTTTAATCTTTCTACTTAAATATCTGTGAAGTTTTATTGTAAATTGATTATTAATACTTCAAAGAAGAACCTATAATAAAAGAGAAGGAAAAATTAAAATGTAAAATTTAATAGTTATTCAAGATCTAGTATTCTTTTATGATGGGTTATTGTTATATATAATGATATAAAATCCTCACACACATTTCTTCGGAAAATTTTTTGGAAAGAATTCAATTTCCTAGTTATACTTCACAAAATTACCTTCTATACGCTGTGGATTATTAGATCAAAGTAGGAACCTTTTGAACGTCAAAATAAAAGTTTCAACAAGAGCACGTGCTATTCTTTTCGTATCTTTGTACTATTCTATAAAACCAGAAAGAAGAATTCGAAATTCCATAATGTCAATTTACTGATCAAAAAGTGCTGTATATACTTATACAAACTCAGCTATAATAAAGTTTAAAGAATTGATGCTACAAAGAACACTTTTTCAATTGAAATCAAAACGAATGTTAAAAATAGATGCTATTTTTTAAAATTAATTACTTTATATATATTTAAAAATATATATTTTAAGTATAATCATTATTGATGAGATATATAATATGATTGCATTATTATTAAAATGGATGCTGCGTATTTATCTTCCGCATCACGGGATTAACTGAATTTTTATACCTTAAATTTCTTTCATCTTTTATTATTTGGAAAGTCTATATAACTTTAAAAGAAAGATTAAAATTTAAAAAGCATAATTATAATTTATAAACACGTAAAAATTATGTATTTCCTTATATACATAATCTCTTACTTTCATCATAAACTTTCCGATATTCATTATTATTTTTTCGTAAATTTTCTGATAATCTAAGTTCTAAATTGAAACTTGAATTATACATACAACGATTTAACAATATTTCATTTATTTATTTATCTATATTTTTCAAAGATTTACACAAAGGCAATGAATCAAACTACACGAAATAACTTTTCTCGTGACACGTAAATATAAAATAAATTTAATATAAAATTTCAAAATAGACCATAAAATTCAATATAATCAGAGACAGTTAAGTTTTTCATAACATTCTTCAAATATTTACATATATAAAAGTATTTATTATAATTAACTGAAGTATTAAAAGGCAAAATACTAATTTTAAAGGGGGAAAAATTTTCATTATTTTAGGTGGTTCGCGAGCTGCTGTTTGAGAAACTAATTATAACAGTATTTTAAATGCTCTTATTAAGAATAGATACAGAAAAAAATTCATAAATGGCGACAATTAAATTGCAACATCAAAATAAACTTTATAAATCCATGAAAGACTTTAAAGTTTTGTAAATATTTATTATACAAAAAATAATAATCAAACTTTAAAAATATTATTTTTATTAGGTACACAAAGAGTATTGAAAACAACATTTATCAAATTTAATATTAAATTCAAAATTATAGGTAATGTGCAGACAGTAAAGCTTAATGGCATGTTAAAGCATTTGGGAGATACCTTCACAAAGAAAAATTAATAAATATAAAAAGAAAAATATAAAATGAAATTAAATTGAATCAGTTATCTTTATTATAGAATTGTTAATGTTATAAACGAGTTTTTGAATAGAAATTATGATTTAATTTTCTCATGAGAATTTATTCAAGAAAGAAATGTGTCACTAGACATGAATTTAGACAAAATATGATAATATAGAAATAAAATAGTACAAATTTATTTTATACTTTATAATAAAATAAACAAATTAATTCAGAATTCATATATAAAATTATTGAATTAATTTTAAAAACAAACTATTCAATTTACATAGGTGTCCTTTTTATTAAAATGAATTCAGTTTAATAAATAAATAAATGAATAAACTGCTACAAGTAATGTCATTTTTAAACGATAAAAAATATAAATTTTTAATATTTTTATTTTTATTTTAAATGTTATTTAGTTTAAAATTTCATTTAAAAAAATAAAAACTTACAATTTAACATAAATTAAGAGCAAATCTCTTAAACACAAATAGCCTATAAAACTTGTAATAAAATTTAAAATTTTTAATTGTCTAATAAGTTTATTTTAATAAACAGTTTCAATTATTAAAATTTTTATAATTAAATAAATTAAAGATAAATTTGCAGGAGCTGAGAGAGGTGAGATGTGATCTATAACAATTTGAAGCACACACCTTTCTGAAAGCAAAGAAAATATAAATATAAAATTAATAAAACAAAAAACATTTGTTTTTCATATTAATATAAATTAACTTTTCTTTTTACATCCTATTTTTAACATAAAACACTTAATTTTAGGAAGTCTTTCAGTGTCTGGACATCACCCAAATGTTTCTGTTGACCCCCTCTCTCTCTATACTTGTGAATTAGTACTTTATTCTTCAGTGATTATATAAATATACATTAAGAGAGAGTTACATAAGAAATTTAACTGTGGAAAAACATTATAATTAAGAAAAAATAATAATTTAATGTTTAAAAATAAAAATATAGAATCATATTTCTTAATTCAATTCAATTCAAATAATGTAAATGATGAAGCTTATATAAGTTATTTATTTTATAGAAAAATATAAAAAATTTATAAAAACAAATAATAAATATAACTTAAAAACAATTAAATATTTTTAAAATATTCATTTTTATAATATAATGTTTAATTATATTAAATAAGAAAATACTTCTTTAAGAATATTTATATAGGCTTAATTTTTATTTTTATAGTAATTATGAAGTTAATTAGATTGTAAATTGTACTAGATGAATTATATTGTCTATATAATATAATATTCGAATATAAATTCATTTATTATTGTAGATAGGCAATATAATTCTTCCGGCTACCACTTAGAAAATTAATTATTATCCCGTTATCCTCCATTTGTTGATGATATATATGTTAAATATACCATTAATAAAAAATATGATCAAGTAATAAATAAAGGGGTTTATATAAAGAACACACCTGAAATATTCAGATAAAAAATTATAATAATAAATTCTTAAGCATTTCTATTAATGTTTAATAAGAAAATTTATCTTATTTATTTGAACTGATGAAAATTGCAATTAAATTTAATAAATATCTTTAAAATTTAAAAATAAAAGCATTCATATTAAGAGATTTAAAAAAAAAATTATGCTTTAATTTAAAATTTATAATGCATAGCAAAATAATATTAAGAATAATATAAGCTTTAAATGGTTTATTAAAGTTTATTATGCAGTCTCATAAACAAGTCAAGTTCCTCATGTTGGATATATGGCATCCTATAATTGATAAAACACTACTGCACTTATGAATGGGCATTTCCATCACTGGAATAGAACCCTGGTATTATTTAATACTTCTTAATAAAACTTCAAATAGGTAGTTAGAAATTTAATCTACAAAGATATGAAGATTGAACTTGTTTCCATCTTGAAACAGTGTAAAGAAATTGTAATTGTTTAGGTCAAGAACTGACTTTCAATGAATAAAAATATAAATAATTGGAGATTTTTATACTATATTTTCAATATAAATTAGTTAAATTTTTTGAATGATTTCAAATAATTTTTAATTAAGAAAGTTTAAAATATATGATTTTTTATTCAGTTTTATAAAGAAGACTCTTAATACAGCTAATAATTTTACATTATTTAAACTTGACTTAAAATCATAATACTTGGTGATGACTTGTATAAACATCTTGTTTTACTGTTGGAACACTGAATTTGATTGGTTGTTAAATATTTTACAGTAAAACATATTTTTTTTTTCAAGTGTAAAATGGTAAGGGGTCAAGTGTTTCATGGTAAAGGGGAGATGACATATATACAAAAAAGCTCGATACATTTTCATAAATTTCTTGGTTTTAAATAATACTTTTAATCAACATTACATTTATGTTTTCATTTACATTTCAAAATTTTCGAAGTTATCTGTTATTGTTTTTGTCGTTTACAAACATGATGATTAGTTTTATTTTTCATGATGAGTAATGATGTTTCAACTTAATTGCAATACATTTATAACGTTACAATACTAAAGAAGTTGTTTAAATCTATAAATTATTATTAATGGATAAAATTTGATTGTTTCCATTTATTTATTTTGCTTTTATTATCTAATTAATTATGTTTTTAAATACGTTTTCTATATGAAGATTTTTATTATAAATGACATAAATTCGATAATTTAACATTCGTTAATTAACATTAATTTGCATATAAAGGAAATTACACAAACACCAACGAAAATATACGTAA